CCCCAAAACCCCAAAACCCCAAAACCCCAAAACCCCAGTTGTCATTTATTGATATTTTAAGTCTGAAATTTAGATTTAATATTTTCCAAAGTAGTTTACTATAATATCAAATTGATATTGTAGATGAGCTGCTTAGTAACTTTTCTTTATAATTTCATTAAAGGAAGACTTGTTCAAAGCTTTTCTAGGGTGTAAGTCTGTATGAAAAGCTCTCATAGCCATCGAAATGACTGATTGTGAAGTTATTTGTGAAGACTCCTAAATCTTGATGAGCCCAAAGATCTCTTATCAAAACTGGGGTATTCTCAGGAATATCTACGTCTACAAAGTTTAATGTGAATTCCCCAAGATTAGTGTAAGCCCAGTTGACAATAACTGCTGCTACATCCCCATTAGCTAATGGACCAGCATACACTTATGCTCTGTTCTCAATTATATCGTAGTAAGTGCAATGAACTCTGCAATGGCCCTGAACACCGAGTGGGTCTTGATTAATAGCAATAATTTCTTGATTTGTTATTATTGCAAAACTTTCTTTGCTTACAGTATCTAAATCACAGCCTAAGATCAATGGTGATTTAGCTACAGCCCAAAGAGCAAAATGAGTTTTCTCTTGAACTAAGGTGAGTCCACCATTCCCAACTTCCAACATATCAGGATCATTCCAAGCTCCTGGCTTTGCAATGTCATAATGAATATCGTTGTATCTGAAATTATATTGAATGGATGCCCAGACATCTTTAATATCCATAGTGGTTCTCCAACTGTTTCCTGTTTAAGGTCCCCATTTATACGTATCCTCATAACCCCAATTGCAAATTGAATAGAAGATATCTCTGCCAGTCTTGAGAAGAGCATCTCTCATGCTTGGATATCTGACAATAGCGGGAACATCGTTATTAAAGCAGTTGTCATATTTTAGGTAATCTACTCCCCAGTCTGCCCAAGTCTATGCGTCAATATCCTCATGATAGAGGCTTCCAGCTCTGCCTTGGCAAGTTAAATTTCCAGCAGATGAGTAAATTCCAAACTTAAGACCTTTGCTGTGAATATAGTCACCAACCGCCTTCATTCCACTTGGGAAAGTTTAATTATCAGCTTGCATTCTTCCCTGAGAGTCTCTTTCAACTGCATTCCAGCAGTCATCTATGTTCACATACTTGTAACCAAGCTTGTCCAATCCTAAATCAACTATTTAGTCAGCTGACTTCTTTATCAAAGTCTCATTAATGCTGCAGGCAAACTTATTCCAAGTGTTCCAACCCATTTGTGGAGTTTTACCTACACTATTTTCAAGTCCCCAGGAACTCTAAAATAGCAGTGCTATTATAGCAGGACTTAAAGCAAGAATTCTAGATGATTGGATCCTCTTCATTATAATTATAATTATTATTACTTTTAGCCTGATTCACTCACTAATTACTATAATTCACAATCTTACTGCTAACTAATTTTGGATTATGGGGTTTTGGGGTTTTGGGGTTTTGGGG